ATCATACAAAAAGATAGTAATTATAATAAAATAGCTTCCAAATTTGTTAAAAGTGAAATATAAACCAAGTTTGGATGACATAAATCTAAACAACACAATTTAGCATCCATAACTATTCACCAACTCCTTTTGGTCAAATTACCAATTAAAGAACTTTCTTTTTTCTCATTCTACGATTATTAATGAAATCTCTCCCTGTATATACTACTATTTAATTCCTTTCTATTATAGTCCTTTTTCGACGTACTCGACACCAAGGTCATTCCAACGATCATAGCTCTTCAGTTCACTTTTTCCTCAGCTCATTTCAACATCTCTTATGGGACATGAATCCTCTTCACGTTGTGACGAACTAAACTGAAGGGTTAGGTGGTATTACTTTTAATTATAAATTGATAGCGTAGATTAAAAGTCAAATTCATATATCAATTTGTACTACGAAATTAAATCCATGTATTTAATTAGATCAAGAAAAGGTTAGATGCTAAATCGAATATTAAAATTAAATTCAAACACTTAATTTAAAAAATAGGTATTAAATTGAAGGGTAAAACACACAAATGATCTCTCGATTATAGAGTAATATTTTGTTAAGTCACGACTATTAAAGGTTACAAAATGATTATCTGATTCTAGTATGTTGTTTTGTTGAGTACCCAACTATTAAAAGTTATAAAATAATTACCCGACTATTCATATGTTCCAAACTCGTCATTTTCTGTTAAAAATTGACTATTGTCTAGATGAAACTTGTTGATTGTGATATGATAAAATATGATCCAAGAACTATTTGAGTTGTATTTTGTCGATTAATTCTCCGTTTACACTATGTCGTCGAGTCAATGCTTAAAAGTAACGACGTTGCCAATAAATATCATTAAAATATAATTTTATCAAATCTTAGTCAACAAGTTAACTTCCAGTTTAGATGGAAGTGGGAAACTTTTTAATGAAAAAAGATAAATTTGTAATATATGAACAATTAGGTGATCATTTTGTAATTTTTAATAGTTTAGAGATTAAAAATATTATTTTATAATAAAAAAATTATTTTATAATTTTTAATAGGAAAAAACTCAGAGAAAGTATCGTAAATTGAACACAAAAACAAAGTTAAGTTATCAAATGCACCATTTGAAGAGCTAAAGCCTAAAACGAACGAACGTGTTCAATCCAAATATTAGCAAAGAATTCCCGGGCACCTCTGGTTTACAAGGGATAAACCTCCCATTCATATAAGGCTGGAATTTACAGAGGATGCCAATGTTACCCGAAGACCTAATCTCCAAAATTCCTATCTTTGTCGGCTTCTCTTTCCATTTCCATTCCAATTTCCACATAATGCTCAATGCTCATCCATTTCTACTCGCATTATCTGCCCATCAACTTTATACCATTTTCTAATGACCCAACACCCTTCTGCTTGATTTCATAACCAGTTTTTTGTGTTTTGAAAGAGGGAATTCCTTGAAAGATCCGATCTTTCGAACACCCAAAGTGAAAAACAATGGCTTCGGTGAATCTTGGTTCTTGGGTTCAATCTTACTCAATTTTCAACCAAGCTTCTAGATCCAAATCTATTCTTTTTCCCAGATCGTTTCTGTTCAATCCCCTTATGAATCTGACATCTTCAACCTCAAAAGCTCACGGCTTTACATCCGTTCCCTCGATTTCAGCAGAAGGAAGAAGAGCAGCACCCTCAAAACCCGAGTTTTGATTTCAAATCCTACATGATTCAAAAGGCAACGACGATTAACCAGGCCCTGGACTCGGCTGTTCCAATCCGTGACCCGGTTAAGATCTATGAAGCAATGCGTTACTCACTTATAGCAGGCGGCAAAAGGGTCCGTCCGGTGCTCTGTTTAGCTGCTTGTGAGCTTGTTGGTGGCCAAGAATCGAAGGCTTTGCCAGCAGCTTGTGCTGTTGAAATGATCCACACCATGTCCCTGATCCAAGATGATCTTCCTTGCATGGACAACGACGACCTTCGTAGAGGAAAACCGACTAATCACAAGGTATTCGGTGAGGATATCGCTGTCTTAGCTGGGGATGCTCTTTTGGCTTATGCTTTCGAACATGTAGCCGTTTCTACAGTTGGTGTTTCACATGGTAGGATTGTGAGAGCAATTGGAGAATTAGCTAAATCGATTGGGGCTGAAGGGTTAGTGGCTGGTCAAGTTGTGGATATATGTAGTGAGGGACTAACAGATGTGGGGTTGGACCGTTTAGAATTCATTCATGTTCACAAAACTGCTGCTTTGCTTGAAGCTGCTGTGGTTTTGGGGGCAATTCTTGGAGGTGGATGCGATGAGGATGTCGAAAAGTTGAGGAAATTCGCTTGGTATATCGGCCTTTTGTTTCAGGTTGTGGACGATATTCTTGATGTTACAAAGTCATCAAAAGAATTAGGGAAGACAGCAGGCAAAGATTTGGTGGCTGATAAAGTGACTTATCCAAAGTTGATCGGAATTGAGAAGTCAAGGGAGTTCGCAGAGAAGTTGAGGAGTGATTCGTTGGAGTTGCTTCAAGGATTTGATCCTGAGAAAGCAGCTCCATTGGTTGCTTTGGCTAATTACATAGCTCACAGGCAAAACTAACTTTTTTTTTTTCTTCTTTTTGTTGTTGTATAATTCTTATTCTTGTTGGTTTATATCAAGGTTAAATTGGCCTTGAATTGATGGTTCTTGTTGTGTTTGATCCAAAAGGCTTAGAGAAAGAAGCAGGTGAATAGTTTTTAATGTTGGGAACATAATTCTACTAGGATGATAATTATAGAAAATTGTTGGTCTGTCTGTGCTGTTATGGCATATGAAAATTCCCCTTAATTTTGAATGGATGCTTCTTGTTGTGTTTGATCCGTCTTGATGAAAGTTTTTCGAGACAAAGCTTGTTCCTCTCTGATGCTATGGAAATGTTTATTTACCTGGTACTGGTAAATTTTTTCTTGTATGCATATGATGATAAAAAATCACCATAGGGAGCAAGAACATGATCCATGTCGGTTGAAGTGGAATGTCAAGGTAAGCAATGGAAAGGAATAAGAAGCTTGTGAATCTTGATTGTTTCCATTTTTCTCTTTTTGTACATTTGGTCTTTGAAAGGTGGAAAATTCAACTGAAGCCAAATGATAGGAAACCGAGGAATCAGACTACGGTAAAGTTAGAAGTTCAAACACAATGCTAATTCATGTAATCCTTGAGATGTGCTAGAAGGCCAACTTGCGCTGCAAAGATCTTCGATCCACTGCCTGATGATCAGCAATGTGCTGCTACTTGCGCTGCTTTGGTTGATGTCTACCTCGTTTCCGGGACTGCCGATAAAGGACTTAAAATATACAAAACGATGCGAAGGAAAGGGATTTAACCTTCTTTAGGCACATACCGTGGCTGGTCTGGAGAAACTCGGTAGAGTCTGAAATGCAGAAACTTGTAGGAAGGAAAACAAAAGCCTGCAGAAAAATGGTTGATAGTGATTTGATTGACGAGGGATCAACGATGTTGCTGAAGTTGTTTCCAACAACCTACATGGCAAAGTATTGCTTGATGCATTGGATTTTGGATGAATACTGTCTACTTAAAAATTGAACACAATATCCATGATTTTGTATATAAATGGCCTTTTTGCTTTTTTTTTCTGTTGATAAATCGGGCAAAGTAAACAAAAGAACACAAGAATTTTAACGAGATTCGGCAATGTGCTTACGTCTTCGGTGCCTAGGCGGCACTAGAAAATTTTTATTCAATTCTCATAGGTTTAGGTTACATCTCTATTTATAATAGAAAATCCTGGTACATAATTATAAAATTAACTCTGTACCGTACTGCGGGGGCACAACCCCCGCACCCCCAACCCACATAACCAACCGTAACCCCCTCTACGAGACTTTCTTTGTAAGGACAATTGATGTTCGCTTCACTCACTCCGCTCCATCTCCTGTCCTCTTTACCGGTATATTTATGAGTCATACCTTACAAATCTCAACCTTGGCGAATATCTGCCCCTTAGGAAACATTCAATGTGGGTTGGGTTACCTTAGTTCTTTAACAACTTGAAACATTCAACAAGTGCAAGCAATGCTTGAACTTGTCTGTCGTAACTGGCTTGGTGAACATATCAGCGGCATTCTCATCAGTGTGTACCTTCTGAAACAAAATCTCTTCAGATGCAACCAACTCTCTGATCTTGTGAAAACGTACATCAATGTGCTTAGTTCTAGCACGATATACCTGATTCTTAGCTAAGTGAATAGCACTTTGATTGTCGCAAAGCAGCTGAACTCCACCTTGCTGAACACCCAACTCTTTCACTAAACCAGTGAGCCATAAAGCTTCTTTTGCAGCTTCAGCCGCTGCCATGTACTCAGCTTCAGTTGTAGATAGTGCTACTACAGATTGAACAGTAGACTTCCAACAAATAGGTCCTCCACCAAGAGTAAAAACATACCATGCCGTAGATCTTCTATTATCAAAGTCACCTGCATAGTCTGAATCCACATATCCTCGTTGACTACCAAAAACAATTCCATGTCCCACAGTACCCTTTAAGTATCGAAAGATCCACTTGACTGCTTCCCAATGTTGCTTATCAGGTTTAGACATGTACTTACAAACTTGACTAACAGCATAAGCTAAATCAGGACGAGTATATACCATTGCATACATCAAGCAGCCAACAACATTAGAATATGGAACCTTTGCTATATCTTCAGCTTTTTATCTGTCTTAGGGCACTGTTCTGATGAGAGCTTAAAGTGGTTCGTCAATGGAGTGCTAACTGGTTTTGCGCTGCTCATCGCAAACATTTCTAGCATTTTTTCAACATAACCCCGTTGAGATAGCCACAGTCTCCTTGAGTCTCTGTCCCTGTAAATTTCCATTCCAACAATTTTCTTTGCAGCACCTAAATCTTTCATATCAAGTTCCTAACTCAATAAAATTTTCAAACCGATAACATCATCCATGTTCTTCGCAGCAATCAACATATCATCAACATACAACAATCACATTAAAGGATCGGTTTACCGAGGATTGATCGACGGTGATTTTGCAGCCATCAAGAAGGTTCATGGAGATGTCTCGAAGGAGATACAGCTGTTAAACAAGGTCAACCACTCGAATCTTATCCGCCTTTTCGGAGTTTGTATCAACGACGGCAACTGGTATCTGGTCTACGAGTATGCCGCCAATGGTGCATTGAGCGACTGGATCTTTAACCAAGATGACAGCAGAAAATTCTTAAGCTCGAAACATAGAATTCAGATTGCATTAGATGTAGCGACGGGGCTTAACTACCTGCATAGCTTCACCAATCCTCCTCATATCCACAAGGACTTAAAAACCAGTAATGTTCTTCTTGATAGTGATTTCAGGGCTAAGATCACGAACTTTGCTCTTGCAAGGTCGACCGAAGGACGAGACGGTGAGTTTGCCTTGACAAGGCACATTGTTGGAACAAAGGGTTATATGGCTCCCGAGTATTTGGAAAACGGTTTGGTCTCCACGAAGCTAGATGTTTATGCTTTTGGGGTTCTCTTGCTTGAAGTGATAACCGGGAAAGAAGCTGCAGCGCTCTACGGCAACGAATATACAAACTTATCAGATGCCGTAAGCAATGTGCTTGATAATGGAAAGGAGGGTTTGAAGCACTTGATTGAACCCTCTATGTTAGAGAATTATCCTTCAGAACTTGCCATAGTGGTTGTCCAATTGATAAATAGTTGCTTGAAGAAAAATCCAACAGCTCGCCCTGCTATGGACGAGATTTCACAGTCCTTGTCGAGAATTCTGGCTACTTTATCGGCAGGGGATTCATCGAGCAACATGTCGTGGTCTCAAACATCTACCGGGAGCTATTGATGTAGCTTTTATTTATCAAACGTTTGTATGTTTCACAGGCTTCTCTCCCCCATCCCTTTGCTTTCTGTAAGATAATGAGTTTGAGTTGTTAATTCAAATCTCCAATGGCTGCACTTGTAGTTATTTTCTATCCAATTTGATTGGATAATAATATAAACCATGGATAAATAGAACGCGACGTACAATGACAAATAACACGAACACAAAACAAATACACAGATCGTTGAGTCTTGGTGATCGCCTTCGGGTTTGTTCTTCTGTAACAGATTGCAGGAGAAGAAGTTGCTTTTTATGCATGATCATATTCACATTAATAAGACATAGTCCAATACATCTTCAAAACTGAAAACCAAGCTAAAACTGTATTTTACAAAACATAGTTATACATTGGTTACTACATAAACTGAATCTATGGAGTTTCTGCAATACTTAACGAGCTATGACTGGAATGATTATTTGAGAGAGTTCTATTTCTGTCCCTGAAGCCCAAGAGCCTTCTGATATCTCAAAAGATGACTGAATAAGAACGGAAAGGCTAAAGACGATTTCCGCCATACTTGGCCTAGCCAGAGGATCCTCTTGAGTGCATGCCATGGCCAATACTGCCAAGCTTAGAGCACTGTCAATGGGATAAAAGCTCTCCAAGTTTGGATCCATCCATTTTCTTAGCCTTTTTTCCCTTTTCTCTTCAATTTCCAAAACTTCCCTTAGATTCTTCCATAACATGAAAATCTCACCATTCTCTTTTGTTGCCATTGCTTTCTTACCCGAAAGCAACTCTAACAGCACAACCCCGAATGCAAAAACATCCATCTTCATCATTATAGTATTTGTAACTGTTTCAGCAACCGAAAAATTTGCAATCTTGGCCTTAAACATGGAATCAAGAAGTATATTGCTCGTTCTGATATCCCGGTGAACGATGTTTGGTCGTGTGTGCTCGTGCATGTATTGCAGGCCATTGGCAACATCCAGTGCTACATGTAACCTTTGGCTCCAGGTGAGAACCGCGACACAGCTCGAAGAACACAAACTTTTCGGATGCAACCACTTATCGAGTGATCCATTTTCAGCATATTCATAAACCAAGAAGCAGTTTCCCTCTGAATCAGCTGAGACACCCATTAACTTCACCAGATTTGCATGATTTACTTTCTGCAAAATCTTCAGTTCCTTTGTGATATCATCCTTTGTTTTCTTTATGGCTAACAGTTTCCCATCAATGGTGGCCCTGTACACCGATCCTCTGATTCTGCTATGTTCATTAAGGTTCATAGTTGCCCTCATAATCACATCAGCTTCATATATGATTGGCTTGCCTAAGTAGCCTGAAACTCCAGGAAGCAACTTATCTTGCACGATCTTCGGCCCGAAACTCTCACTTTTCATAAGATCCTTCACCGGAATCAAACCGACCGTCTCCAGAGATGAGCTGTTGTGTTTAAAGATCTTCTTTCTCTCATGTATAAACACACCTGCTAAAATAAGCAAACAGCCTACTATGCTTAAAACAACTATGAGGATCCCTTTGGATTTGCTTCCTCGAGAGAGGTGAGTTTGCGAAAGAACCGGCAAGTCTGGCACGGGGATCATCAGGGGAGGAATCACCGCCGAGCTAATCTCGGGGTAACCATTTAACTTATTTTCATCAATGATAGCTGGTGCTGAAGCATTGAACATAGCACTTACAGTCCAAAACTGTCTTTCAGTTGCCATACATAGCTAATAAAATATCCAGTTCCGTTCTCCGATTCAGCTTTTGAAGGGCACTTGCAGAACAAAGGAAACACAACTTCGTCGCCAGCGTGCAAATTTTTCGGCTCAAGAGAAGGATTCATTTGCTCCACTGCAGTAAAATTGGTGAGACCCTCGAAAACCGTGGTCGAAACTATGTAATATGTGTCGCCAAGCTTGATATCATATGTAATATTGGCGAAAGTAATGGTTCATGGTGCAACCACAGGTGATAGGGACCAACAATAGTTGGCCTGGGAACAACCGATTATCTTCAGATACCAAGTTGCTAGCTCTTGCAATCGCTTGAGGGCTGGTTCCGAATAGATCAGCGATTTTCCAAAGGTCCAAAAAGTCCGGTTCTTGAGCAAAATACGCGGCATATGTCGAGCACGGGATTGACGATTCTGAACACCAAAAGTCGGCCCCATCAATAGATGAGGACTGAGCTCTGATATAGGAAGCAAAAACATAGTTGAGTATGAAAAACAGAACTTGCAAGGATTTCCATTGTTGAGAGGAGAAAGAAATTGCCATAGATAACTAACTGGCTATAAGCTAGCTTATTTACCAGTGTATTAAGCTCATGTCTGCATATATATTAGACTCGAGTGTCAAACATGAATACCTCACAGTGTCTCGTTTAAAGTTAATGAAAAAGGTGAAATCGTTGTCATTAATGAGTATTGAAGCTTTTGATTCGAAAATGATTTACATTCTTTTGAAATAAAAATCTAAGTGGCCTTTGTCTGTAGCTTTAATCTTAAATGATTATACCAATCTCATCATTTTTTTTCTGGATTATACTTCAATTTCTATTAGGAATTTTTTTATTAGTATCAGATTAGTTTAATGCAATAATCCAAACCAGGACGGCACGCAGTTGCAATCCCATATCAAATGACAACTCTTATTGTACACTCAAGTTGATTTCCGCTGATAACAATGCAACACTCTTGTTGTTTTCCTTGGCTAATTCTTCCTCACCTCCTCTTCCACCGGCAGGCAACACCACTGCATTTCTGTATGCAGTTGAACCACCCCTTCCTTTTGGGTTCAAAATGGGTTTACAACGGCACGAGGAAGTCTCTACCAATGATCTCGGGTTTCTCTGACGCGACCAGTTGCTTAATTCACCACCAGGTAGCTGAACTGCAACAGCGGTGTAACCAATCCCACTTTTCTCTTCGAATTTGACAGTTCCATCTATGGATACATCGAAATGTCTCTCGATGAAATCGAGCTACACATTGAGCGTGTAGGTTAAACAGGTCATTAGGTTGGTTCTTCTGAACTTTGGGGGTGCATTTCCGTTAACACACTCAACTTTGACAGTGAAGAAAGTAGGCTCAGCCATGGGAAAATATACAAAAGAAATGAAATTATTGCTAGTTTATTGGTTCATTCATTCACTCACTATATACTAATATCACATATGAATCCTAATCCAGTCTTGACGAAGGCTTCAACATGTGAAATACATTAAAAACAGCAGCAGTTTTTATTCAAGTTCGTGCAAAGGCAGTAATGATTCAGCACCCAGTCTGTTTCGCTACCGGCTAGACAAAGTGAAGCACGAGCGACCAGATGGGGTACACTAACAGAAGGATAATGCCAATGGTGTTTGATATGCCGTTACTCTGAGTGAAGGAATTCCGGAATCCACCCGATGCTCGGATGTGTTCTTGTAGCAGGTAACATCCAATTAGGAGGCATATTAAAACACCAACCCAGCTGCCCTTCAAGGTGACCGCAAAGAAATTTGGAGCCACCACCAGTAAAAGTATCAATGATCCTGGCATCTCAAGCCAATCTGCAACTCACACAATGTTTACAGAATCAGAGAAGGAACCAAGTAACAAGGACAATTATTCGGGTTCAAGTTCACGTTCAAATTGAGAAACATGTAGTCTACAAATACCAGGAGCGAAGTATGAATTTGATCTTGTTATGTTCAAAAGGTAATTTAGATTGAGAATAAACCTGGAAAGTGTCTGGGGAAGAACAGTCTCAGAACGACAGCTATGAATGCAATCCATTTTCCAACATCTCCCCTGAATGTATTTAAATAGTCATTCAATGAACAATATTTAAGAAAAACACAATATAAAGAAAAAAAGACAACTAGGAGGAATGAAATGGTAAAGATTGTCACCTGAGGAAGTCGAACAATCCTGAAGGAAGACTCAAGAAGATATAAGGTACCAGAAGTGATGTCAACATGTTTGTTCTCCAGTTTGTTCGGTCCAGGATTAACAAATAACTGCACAGATCATACAGAATAAGTATTTATTGCAAATTTACAATCCTTGTTATATATATATACACACACAAATATACGTGGTTTTATGAACCTCATGAAGTTCAATTCCCACAGCAAAAATGGAGAATTAGGCTACAAATGAAGCATAGTCGTTTCAAGAACTCACAGAAGAAGCTATGAAATTCCAACTTCTCATTTTCGTTAGAACACCCTTTTCCAATTACCGAATATATGAGCTTTCAAAGATCATCCAAATACATTGAAAAAGATAGAAAATAAAATTTAACATACTTGTGTCAAATAAACACTCGTATTGACACACAAACAACCGAGACTGAGGCAAAAAGCACAGAAGCTCTTAGACAAATTAAGGTAGAATGAACTCAATATTCATCAAGTAGCAGATAAATTAGGAGAGTCATATTCCTAAGACACCAGCTGTGGTCCATTAAGTGAATTGAATCAAACTACATTTCCCATTATTTGCATTGCAAACAAAGTTGTCAAATCATTTGTAGACATTTTGGCATTTGAACAATGCATCTGCTGGTTAAATCTTCATACTAGTATTTAAAAGCTTTCTTGTTTATTAGCATAGGCAGAAGCCAGTAGCCCTTGGCGTCCCCTGATTCGGATAGTGTAAGATCGCTTTATCGAACGCGTATTTATAATCCGACGCCCATCGAAGAAGTACCGATAAAATCAGCTCACTTACCAAACTTTCAAAAGTAAAACAGTTTAGAAAATTTCAGTTGCAAATGGAAAATTAAGTTTCATATTCAAGGAAAAAACCCCTTTCTTGTTTGACAGTTGGAGAACTCCGTTCCACCAACGGAGGATAACCACACGAACATACAAACAAACACATCTAATGCGTACCCAAATAATCCAAACCGCCATAAAATCTTGTGAAATTTTACAAACTAACAAAGAAAAAAAAAAACAAGCCCAGTGTTATACAAAGGTGAAAGAAGAGAACTTACATAGCAGAAAACGAGGCGACCCATTTGAGAAAAGAAGTTCCAAAACCCAGACCTCCAAGTTTAGTTGCATCATCGATCAATTTCATGGCAGCCAGCTTCAGTTCATTGATATCAGAGCTGATCAATTCTTGAGCAACGGGATCGGTTTTCATAGCCAAATACTGTTGCATTCTCCCCATTTCTCACCCTTTCTTTCTCGCAGATCTAACTTAAACAAATGAGAATTATTCAAAAATGAGGATATTGTAATAGTAAGGGGTCAGACAATAACATTTAAGAAGAGGATGGGAGACAGGCTGTTTAGTACCCTCGTGTTTGTTTGTTGATTAGCTTTGCCTATAACCTTATCTGATTGCTTCAAAAAGTTTGCAATTTTACGCTTCTATTTAGTTTGAAGTTCTAAAAAGGGAATGTTAAAAAGGAGAATCCGAACTTATGGATCCATACATAACTGTATTCCGGAATTTGAGTCTTTGACTATGTTGAAGGAAAGGGACACGTTTGTGTTTCGAGGTATTAAATCAATCCTTTGATTATTCGATTGTTTTAATGTATTATAAATAAATAAATGCATTCAATGTAAATGTAAAACCCAAGGAACGTAAACTTTAGCTTACTATTCCATATAGCAGTTATAAGCAGAATTAAGTTTAGTTGTAAGGGTAGAATCTGTTAACATCAAGCATTATCTAACTGCGTTTCAAATAGCAGATCCCGGTGGCTATTAATTTGTACTAGGAGTATTGAAAGCATGCATGGATGACATCTAGGATCACAAATATTAAGACGCACTGCTGCCATTTCCTTTGTCGGATGATGGGTCAATTGCGGGTTTCTTTATTGGGTTCCATTCTACAGCTCCTGTACTCGTCAAAACACGCTTCACTCCTCGTCCTACAACGCCGAGATGTGTGACAGCAGGGGGCCCATTTGTATTAGCAGTTGAAACGGTCGGAGAATCAAAATGACCATCAGTGTTAGCAGTAGCCATCTGTGAAGAGCTTGGCACAGCAGGAGATGCACTCTTCTCATCACCCCTTGCCCTGGCAGATGCCATTCCCAGAAGTTCTGCAATAATCGACTTTGGGTTGGAGACCAGCTGTTGTAGATCTTCAAGCTGCAAATGTAGAAATGGACGGAATAAATAAAGCTATACATTAAGGTTTTAATTCAAAGAGATTGTCAAAATTTGCACTTGCCTTCTTTTCCAGGTCTTCGGCAAGTCCAACAAGTGTTTCAATCTCTGCTTCTTTATCTTTGACGGATTTATCATTCTGCGAGCCATTCGAGGAATGTTGTATACCATCATCCAATTCAGAAGCAGCTGCAAATGATGCTGATCCTGAGGATTCGTTTACTTCATTTCTGAGCCGCTCCAGCCGAGACTTGCAAACTGAGATGGCTTTCTGACAGTATGGAACTGCTTCTTGGGACTTTGAGCCAATTTCCAAACACATACATATTCGGAAATTTCTAAATTGAACGGTTAAGTAGCATATGTAGAATTTGAATGAAATTGAAGGATGGAATAGGAGGATCCACATTTCTTTTCCCTTCTAGTATGCATCCGCTGATCATCATGCATTTGTACCACACTATTTATCTGAACCTAGGATTGGGTACTAGGTAAAGAATAATCATCTAAATAATATAGATATTTCAAGTTTCAACCCTATAAAGGATACAGTTCAGCTATTTGACGGTGATCTGGTTCCACCAGCCGTTGCAAAATGGATAGAGCTTTCTGGTAGTCACCAAGTGAAGATTCGATGTCCTCTAAAGAAGCATATCAGAAACAAATTTATGTTTTAGGCAAAAAAGATGCTTCAAGAAAAAGTTAGTGTCGAATTGGTAGAGAGGGTTCCTATCTTCCCACACATAGCCAAAACAAGCATTGCAATTAACTATAATGAATAGTTAAGTACTGACCTCTTTCCAAGGCAACTTCAGCCAAGGTTGATAGAATATCCACTTTCTCCATGGTGTCACCCAACTGTTGTTTTTCAGCAATTGCCCTGGCAACATCTAGCATTTTCCATGCCAAATCCAGGTCAGATTCATCTGCATCCTCATCTGCTTCAGCCGCATCATCACCGTCGCTATCATCATCTTCTTCCTCCTCCTCACCTTTTCCACCTGAAACGCAACAAATATTGATCGTAAAGCAGGCTACTATCTATAACCGACAACACTCTGAATGAAAATTTGAATGAGTCTAACTGACACTTGCGTCCCATATGTAAGCAATAGCAAATACATATCAAGGCAATGAAAAAGATTCAACTACACTCAAGCATCTAAGCTCAATTCAACTAGAATACAATAATCCCTTTAGGAAAACCTACCGCCATCTTGTTCTGAATTGCTTGATACAGAAGTAAATTAAGTTTCACGAGTTAAAGCACCTTCTTTCTTTGAGTCTTGCTGAGCCTCACACTCCTTATTTGGTACAGAAACCAACGGATCAGCTTCCACTTGAGCCTTGTACAACAGTGCACGTCCATAGAGATAGTACGCCTTGAGACATTCAATTGCAAGTTCACCATGATGCGCAACCCTAGTATGAAGTAAACATATTTTGACAACAAAAGAAGAAAAATACTGAAACATAACAAGTAAATTAAGCTACTAATTGAAATTCTGGAAACCTCCCTAAGGTTGCTGCATTTTCCAAAAGCATTTTACTTCCTCAAAAGATGTTAATCAAACATAATTATTTCCCATGTTAAAAGATAATATCACAAGTTCATTTAAAAAGTTCAATACTCTGTTCTTAAACCTTGAAAAAAAGTACAAATATTTTTGTAAAATCAAGTCTCAGCTCTAATATGAATACCTAGGTCCCACAGGCAAGGCATTATCTGTTTTCAACGAGTGCCTCACAATAATGGGTTTAAGTTTCTCAATCTAAATTCATAGGGAAATATTTATGAAAGCGAAAAGAGATGAAACTGAAGCTCAAGTTTAACCTGATTTCAAGGGCGCGACTAAAGCAATCAGCAGCTTCAGAAAAATCATCTTCTTTAAAAGCCTTGGATCCTTTCTCTGTCAACTCGTCTGCGAACTCCAGCGTCTTCTCTCGACCAACATCCGAAGCAACTACACAGCTTTCACCATTACTGTTATTGTTGCATGTCAACTCGCTGCCTCCTGGAACTGCACAGTCAATAGTGGCTTCGACTGAGCCTTGTGTTTCTAGGGTTTCAGTTATTCTAGGGTCTGGAGTTTGCTCCGCCATTGTCACCGACGCTTCTGATGCCGCAGCCTCCACCTTATATTCTTCAGCCATTGCTTCAATAATTTGCCCAGAAGTGCAAAAAAAAAAGGAAGAATGAAAATCACAAGGGGGGGGGGGGGGTTGGAGCGAAAGACCGAAAAGTGAACGACGGCGTTTCGAGAAAATAAAGCTATGAAGGGTACTCCCGTAATTGAGATAAAAAAAGAAGATTTTATTTGTTTTTTAAAATTATTGAGCGTCACATATTTTGATTTCCAAGGATCAGACTGAAGTAGAGCAGAAATGGCGTCCACAATTTCGCCATCTATGCTCCACTCTCTCTCAGTTCACTGTGCGCACACTTCGCACCGTGGCCAATCCTTCAAGGCGTATGCTAGCAAACCTGCTCCGGCGGTTTATCTTTCGAACCGGAGGCAACTTCTGTTCTTTCTGACTACTTCGACAGCATTGACGGTTACAGAGAAGAAGTCGAATGCGGAGGATATTCCGTTGTTCGGTTTCAGGAAGAAGCTGAAGAAAGCGGAGGAGGAAGCTGTGGAGATCGTGAAAGAAGGACTCGAGACGGCGGGGAAAGAGATGTTTACGGTGGAGAAAGAGTTGAAGGCGGCTGAAAAGGGGATTGAAAGTGCTGTTAGTTTTAGCGCGTTGGCTCAGGCGGGTACTGTGGCGGGAGCCGAGTTTCTCGGCGTTGTGGTGGCTACTTCCATCGTTAATGGAATTTTGTCGGCTGATGCCCCGAAATCATGAATTTTCTTGTATATTTAATTTTAATTTAATATTTGTGAAACAAGTTGTTTTTATTTTTCCTTAACAACTTCTTTTCGTTCACGAATGCTCATACGGTGGTGGAATCGAATCAGACTAAGATTTTCAAACTCGATTTAGAAATACATTAACTGATAACCACTCAACCTATTTACAGATTTCATGACTTTCTGGGGTTTTTTTTCTTTTTCTTTCAAGGGAAAGTGAAAGCATCGCCCGAGTTCCATCCACTTTTCTTGAGCTTGTCCATCGCCTCCAACCAGAGCCTGCAAAGCACTCCTGAACCTGTTTTTGCACTAGTGATTGCGGATTCGCCTAAGAACAACCTCTTACCCCAGTGCTTCATCCACGGGCGTTCAAATTAACAGTAACCGTGTAATTAATTAATCCAATTGTTTAGATTAAATAATTTCAGTTAATCGAATCATTAAAAATATTAATTATTAGTTACAGTTATAAATTTTTAATAAATTGTTAACTATCAATTAATCGTTAATAAATTATATTTAATTAATTATATTTCAAAATTATATCTCGAAAAATATTTTAATGTCTAAGGGTTTTCTATTATTATTTTAGATGCTCATACGTTAACCACAACTTTAAAAGTTTCACGATGTGTTATGTTTTAAAAAACATTCATATAATAAATTAACTTGTTATTGAACCGTTAAAACCGTTAATAGCAGTTAACTGTTAGTAATTAATCAATTTTTAATAATTAGATTATAATTTATAAAAATTAATTACCATCAATTCGTTAAATTTAAATTAAACAGTACAATTAACCGGCCATAATACTCTTAAGTTAGCTGTGAATTTTATCTGAAGTTGACTGATGACAGCATTGTTCGTTTGACCACTAACAAAAGGATTTGCTTGAAATGACAATGATAATGATAATTTGAGAGCTCTGTTATAATTCTTTTAAAGCTTTTGTACCAATTTAAAATCTTGAGATGTATGATGAAATTAACTCTCTGGATTTAATGAGCCATGTTGCGTTGGCTTTGTTTGACATACGAAGAAAAAGCCCAAGCCGAACTAGTAAAAAAGCCAGGAAATTTCTCCAAAACCCTTCACAAAACCCCCATCACAAAATGATCCGGCACCTCGCAACCATCGTACGCCACCGTTCAACCACCATCCTCCGGCACCAAAACAACCACTATCACCGAATAGCTACAAACACCCCAAAACCCCAAACCCACCTTCCCCACCGAAGCCTCCAAAAGCCCCTCAAAAACCACAAACATTCACTTTCCATGATGTCACCTGGGAAGATCCTTACTCCTGGATGTCTTCTCTCCAAGACAAAGTCGCCATGCGACATATGGACATGTATATGGAACAAGAGGAGAAGTATACCGAGGCTGTCATGTCGGACACTGAACGACTCCAAACTAAGCTCCAGTCCGAGATGGCTTCTCGCTTGAACTTTGATCTCTCTATGCCTCCAGTCCGTTGGGGTCCCTGGTACTTCCTTCAAACTTTCCATTTTTAGCACTTTCTGTTAAGAAATAGAATCTGTCAAATTGGGTGTCTAGTAAAACCTCGGGTTTTCTTAGGTTCGGATTGGTTAGCTTCTTACAAGTCGGTTTGATTAGACGAAAATGCTAAAAAAGGTGTCAAATACAATGTACTTATTTGCTCCTAGAACGAAATGTTAAGCTTTTCTTTAATGGAAAGTCAAACTGTATGATGCTTGTTTTAATGGAAGTGTTGATGTATGTATGATTGTAGTCATAGGGGCTCAGTTTTTGTTTTTTTATCATATGAACGTTAATTGCTGTATTAGTTGAAATCTAAATAATTGTGCAGGTTGTATTATAGAAGAGTGGAAGAAGGGAAGCAATATCCAGTGCTATGTAGGAGGTTGGCGAGCTTGAACGAGGAGTTCATTTCACATAAGTCTCCGAGTTATGGATTTGATTTTACTTCTGGGAAGAGGATTGAGCTGAAGCTGCTTGATTACAATCAAGAAGCTCAGAGATTTGGAGGTATTGCAGAAAATGGTAGATTGCCCTCTTTGTTTATTTGCTTCTGAGACTTTGTTTACATTACTTTCTCAATATGTTTAAAGGTTATGCTTATGAAGAATTATCGGAGATATCACCGGATCATAAATTTCTTGCATACACCATGTATGATAAGGACAATGACTACTTCAAGTTATCTGTGAGAAATTTGAATTCTGGTGGCATTGCTCTATGTCATAACTGATGAGAATAAGAGGCCATATAGGTGGAAACTCTGCTTGTTTCATAACCAGTTAACTTATATATTAATTATTTTTTGGTTGTCAAATGAATTTTACAAAGCTAATTGGAAATTGACTTTTTTGTTTAGGATATACTGTAGCATGATTGGATCAACGGATGAAGATGTTTTTCTGCTGGAAGAAAAAGATGAAAATGTCTATGTAAACATAAGACACACAAGATTTCCATTTTGTGACAGTTAATATATTTTCTCCTACATTTTCAAAGGTATCCGGAGAGCAATATTGGCTTGTAGTCAGCTTAGATTGTTGTAAAATGATCATATGATCAAATGGTGTTAACAAACTTTATGATATTTTAGGTCTTTCTGATAAATGCAGCTGATCCATTTTCTGGCATGACATTAGCTTGGGAGAGTGAAGGTATTGTTCACTGCATTCTCAAGCATCATCAAGGATACTTCTATTTATTCACAGATGCAGCCAAGAATGGACAAACAATTGATAATCATTATCTTCTTCGAAGCCCTATTGATTCTTCATCCAATCCTAGAATTTGGGAGGTGGGTGACTTCTATACGACTTCCTTAATTCCTTTTTTTTTCGTTCTACTGGTTCATAATGCACATATTTTTTATCCTTTTGCACTGAGGTACAATGATAGTGCTGATACATGTGGACATTTCTTGCCTAAATGCTACCAATGCTCACTGCATTATTTATGTAATCCCATGTCTTATGGACTTCAGAATGTATTCATTGATTCTAAAGACTTGGCCATAGAGGATGTTGATTTCTGCAAGTCACACTTGGTTCTTATTACAAGGGAAGGTTGAAATCACGGAATCTGCTCTGATTGCCTGATGGGAAGGTAGGAAATATGTGTGTGTGTGTAGTGCTTATCACTCATACTTCATCTTTCTTCTTTTACCCCTTGTTGCCCTTTGTCATTATAGGGATTTTTACAATACTCTCTTCATGTCTTTTGTTTTATGGCAGCAAGCAGTTCATCTGCGAGAGCTTCAACCTCATTTCCTTCCTCTTCCAAAGCATGTTTGTAACATTTCTCCTGGGCCAAACTATGACTACTACTCCACAACCATGCGATTCACAATATCATCACCTGTGGTATGTAGATGACTACCATCTGAACAGTATTTAGCTCTTAATTGACCACGGCTATTCCCTTATCATCTATACTTAATAATTTTGTGGAATTTTGATTCATGTAACATGTTAAGCATGATTTGAAAATGAAGAAAGCTTAATTGAGCTTAAATATCTGCTATCAGTGACGGAAGATATGTTGCCTCTATTGTCTATAATTTGGGTTTTAATTTTGAATATAATAAGCTGTTTAAACCGATTTGTTTCCTGAATGGAATCTAGAGATCAAAGGTTTTTGTTTTGGTTTGGATTGATATTTGCTTTATTTGAATATGGTCCAGCAAGCAGCAACTGTTCATGTTTCTCTTCTAGGATGAGTAAAAATATGAAACATGGCAGCATTTTCAATCACGATCTTAAGTAAAACTAGTTTACTTTTTTCACATCTTGTTTATCAGTGTTTATTTTTATTATTTTATTTTGGTTTTCTTGCCATATATGTTTACATTATTCCAATATCAATACTGATATTCTAGGGTTGTTTATGTATAAATTTTACAGATGCCTGATGCGGTGGTTGATTATGATTTGTCAAATGGGAAGTGGGATATTGTTCAACAGCAAAATATGCTTCATGAAAGAACACGGATTTTGTATGGTACTGCATTGTCTTCAGCCATTGCTGAAAAGACAACAAATGTGAAATTTTCTTCTATGAATGATGTCAAATCTGAAGACAAAAACTTGTGGAATGACCTCTCTGAATTTTATGCTTGTGAACATCACAATGTCTCTTCTTTTGATGGGACAATGGTTCCTTTAACTATTGTTTACTCGCACAAAAATAGAAAGGATAATCAAAGCCCCGGCTTGCTTCATGGACATGGAGCTTATGGTGAAATACTTGATAAAAGGTGTCGTAGTGAGTTGAAAAGCCTCCTTGATCGGGGTTGGATTATTGCTTATGCTGATGTAAGGTTTGTTTTTTGTTATTATTATAGTAATTCTTCCGGGCTATCCTTACCTTCACCTTTCTGTAGCACTATTCAGTTTTATATTATTTTATGAATTGTTGTCGTTTTTAATATTTGCATGCCACTTTGTTTCTTGGTTTATGGATGGTATGTTCTGCAGAGGCGGTGGTGGCGGTGGTAAGAAGTGGCACCATGATGGCCGACGCACAAAGAAACAAAATTCAGTTAGAGATTACATATCTTGTGCAAAGTACCTTATTGAAAAAGAGATTGTGCAAGAAAACAAGCTTGCTGGTTGGGGATATAGTGTTGGAGGACTCCTGGTTGCCTCCGTCATCAATTGCTTCCCAGGTTTATTCCGTGCTGCAGTTTTGAAGGTATGACAAATCTCTCTATGGCTTTTGTGTCTGCTCAACCATACTTGCTACATAGTCTTAATTTGCTTGCATCCTTTTTGAAGATATATGGTACTAGGTAGTTTAGAATTTTATATGGGTATGAGCTTTTTTTTTTAATAATTCTAGGCGAATTCATTTTATCTTTTATTTGTTTCAGGTTCCATTTTTAGATGCAACCAACACTCTGCTATACCCCATTTTACCTCTCACGGCCACTGATTATGAAGAATTTGGTTACCCTGGGGATGTTGATGAGTTTTATGCCATTCGGAAATTTTCTCCCTATGACAATATCCAGAAAGATGCTCTTTATCCAGCGCTGTTAGTCTCCTCATCTTTCAACACAAGGTAAGTAGCCTTCTCGTTAACCGTGCTTTTTCCGGTTATCTGAACTTACAGTTTTGTGACATTGATCAACAAAAAAGGTATGCCATCTAGAGAACAAGGGATGCATAAACTTTATCAATATTTATCAAACTTATGTGCTTAACTAGGGACAAAAAAGGTCCAAAATGGGTGGAATAGGATTGAATAACAGCATATAGATCACTTTGGATTTCGGAAATTCATTACTTGATCAAAGACCATCTGTGTGTGTATGCTGTAAGATGGCTACAAAGTTGTTCCCTCTGCCTTTAAAACAGATATTAAAGGAGAAACATGCCATCGACAATTCGTACTGCATTCAGTCTTCTAGTTGATTATATCTTTTTCCCTTGTAATTGAAGTAGGCATTGATGCCTTTCTGCTTAACATTTTTTCAGGTTTGGGGTATGGGAAGCGGCAAAATGGGTCGCTCGAGTTCGGGAACAAACAATCTATGACCCTAAACATCCCATACTACTTAATCTATTGACAGATATAGTAGAGGAAAATAGATATCTTCAGTGCAAAGAGTCAGCTATGGAGACTGCATTTCTTATAAAGGCAATGGATGAATAAATTGGCCCTTCTATCCAATGAGTGGAAGCTATAAAGTTGAGCTATGCATGCATGTATTCGTGTGTGTGTATTGTGGCCAAACTAAGATAATTCGTACATAATATATACTATCTCGTAAAGATGATAGGTTGAACTATCTGATTGATGAATCATTTATATTTCTCAGAAACTTGTTGGAGATGTTTGCAGAGCTGGTGGGGCTTGGAAAGCATGACCATATGATCGGCTCCATCTATGAATCATTTATGCATATGAAATTGATTACATTTCTTAAACTCATTTTATTTATTAAAAGTTATAAATTATTGATAAAATAATCGGGGGTTTTTTCCTTTTCATTTCTTCTTTCTTCTCTTTGTAAATTATAGTTTAACAAATTAATCTTGTTTTAAGTATCATATGATAATGATGAGTAAACAATCATAAAATAATAATAAAAATATTAAACACATAAATTTACCTGTATGACATGTCCTATTTTATTTATTAAAACATGAACCAATTAGTCGAAAATTATTTTATTCTTTATACATTATGATTTCAAAATTTAAAAGATTTAATTCCGTACATGATATAAAGATGAGAGGGTGAACTAATTAGATTAAAGGAGAGTTGAACACCTTGTTTTGTTTATTGATTACAAAGTAGGCTCGGTGAAAAGTTCAGTTATATTTGTCAGCAACTTGTTGGAGACATTTGCAGAGCTGGTGGGGCTGGGAAAACATGGGCATATGATCGGCTCCATCTATGAACTTCACATCTGCTGGTGGGCTATTTTCGATGTACCATTTCTGCAAGCTTTCTTTGATCAGCAAATCATCTTTGCAAACTATATAAACCCGATTGACCGACTCGAAATTCTCTTTCGTCAGCAGGGATTCCTTGGACAAATCTTTCATGAACCACTTTCCTTGTCTCAACAACGTTATGGCCAGTTCTATGTCCTATAAATTCCAACACAAACTTAGTATCCGCGTCACGAACGAGTGACGGGCGCATAATTTTATATTTGAGTACGAATTATAAAGCATCTTATGCAGCTGAGATGACTGACCTCTTTTGGTGAGAGTTGATAAACCATTGCCGCCATGTATTTTGGTCCGAACATGGCATGAGTTGGTGGATTTTCTGACCCGTCTTCAAACAATAGCTCGAAATCCATGATCGGCTCCTCCATGACCCTTTTGAAGTACTAACTCCCACAAACATTCAACCAACAAGTTTAAGTCCGACCAAAAACAAATCCATAAAAAACGCACACACACAACTGTGTTCATGTTTTTACCTCGGCTACTCGGGTTGCAATAGGAGAATGGTGATTTGGCATAAAAGCTGTGAGATAAACAGCGGCCGACACTTTGGTGGGGAAGCTTTCCATGGCTAAAGAAATGATAACTCCACCATAACTATGTCCCACTAGTATCACTTTCTCGTGTTGAGGCAAAGAGGCCATGAATTCCATCAACGGCTGCGCATAATCCAATACCGAAACCAGCTCGCCGAGCTGCTTCGGGTTGATTCCACTGGCGCCGAGGTCCAATGGAGTGACATGGTGACCGGACAATTTGAGCAACGAGACAACCTTGTACCAACACCAAGCTCCATGGCACATACCATGAATTAGAACAAAGTGTGCCATAGTTCACTGTTTTTTATCGCAATATCTTCTCTGTTAGTTGCTTCAATTATTATTGCAAGGGGATTTATCTAAGAGGAATTTCTACTGTCAACGTCATGGAAGAAAAAAAGGTTGGATCAAACCAATGAATTGAAGTTGTTTTTAGTGATTATTGGATAAGCCGTCTCTGTTTTCTTTGGCCATCGTCGTTGGTGTTGATTTGATTTGATATCCTCCACACAAGTAGTGCTTGACCATAGAAATATCACTTCCGTATTTGATTTGAACATGTAGCGCTGGACCATAGATAGTTCTTACAAAGTATGTATGTATGTATGTATGTATCGACAGTTGCAAGCAATACTTGCAACTGCTTGATCCATATGGTTTAAAATTTTATAAAACCTCAGTTTTTTCGTAATACAATAATCCAATGTGTCGGGACCGTCTTTCGTTTGGGCCCCGAAATTGAGCTTCGACTTAGATTAAATGAATTGGAGTCGCCACCGACCATTTAAAACGAATTTAGGTAGGTCGGACACCATCTTATCTGATCTGCGTTGTACCAGAAACGTGTCGGGTTCGGGAGTCGGTTACGGTCAAGGAAGGATTATCACCCTTAAACCGCCCTTTCGGTACCAATTAATTCATCGGTTGTCTTAATCGCGAAAATCAAAATTTAAATTGAAATTTAAAAATTCAATTTGAATTAATTATTTTTGATCGATTAAAAATATCCCTAAAAAGTCAAAAGTGTTGGATTGTAAAAATGAAAATAAATATGAGAAAAGAATAATAAAAAATATTAATATAATAATATTAATAAAAAATGAATAAATAAATAAATATATATATATATATAACAATGTAAAAAGAAATAAAAAATATTAAAATTAAGAGAAAATGAAATATATATATATATAAAGTAAATAAATAAAAAATGAAATAAAAAGAACAAGTCAAAAATTGTTACATCTCTCATGTTTTACGTGTAGAGAAACTGTATTTGTAATGAAAATGCTCTGTCACTCTTCGTGCTTTTAGATACTGACTTTGGATCCTCCACGCTTATTTTTTGTCCTTTTCTTCCCTCAGTTTTTTTAAATCGTTGCCTCTTCCTTTGATTTTGATTTCACGTTTTTCTCTTTTCCTTTCCTCTTGATACTTGAGTCTATTTATAGTCTAAAGAAACCTATTTTTAGCTCAGATTTAGAGTCCTACTTGAACTCAAATGCTTCGATTTTAGTGTTTCAATAGGACTTAAATACGTTAATTTTAGTGTTTTAATAGGACTCAAAATGTTGATTTATTTTCTGAATCTCACTAAATCAGGGTTATTGAGTGTGGAGCCTATAAAAATAATAAAATAATAATAAATAAAATAATAATAATCATAATAATCATAATAAATAAATATAATATAATAAAATATTTTTGTAGACTCGGACAAAATCGGGTGTCTACACAATGGAATGCATAATTTTATCTAATGTTTCTAAGACAACAATTTCTATCCTCTCTTTTCTATCATCTATATATTTCTCCGCAGTCAAACTATCATGACCGGAAAAAGGGCGGTTACCAAAGGCTTAATCGTAGTCACCTGTAATCAAACTACAGGTGACGTCCGACAGCTTTGCCGCAGAGGAGAACATTATTGGGAAGATCATATTCATTAGCAAGGCTGTGAACTGGATTCCAGACTCTAAGGTAGAACTGCTGTCCAAGATATTGCCTGTCCCATAATGTAGACCTCATATTCCACATACCTTGGTTGTCCAAGGAGACGAAAATGGCTGTCCAAGAATTCGGATAAACCTGCCAGAAAAGAATAACAGAAAATAGGTAATACTATCTTTCAAACATTACATTATTTGAAATAATCATTTTTCACCAAACCGAAACTTAAAACGTGAGAACTATGGCTCCTCAAGAACACGAGTGATCCATGGTAATTATCACTGATATAAAGGCATGACCTCATAGCGAGGATCGATAAAAGGGAAATGATTTGTATTTGGTACGATGTGGGTTACCTGAGTAGTGTGTCTTGTAAGAGCATCGACTAGATTGTAGCTCTTTCTACTGTTTGGCGTCCACTGCCCCGAGCCAAAACTGTGTATATAGTAATATAAACATTAGAACCTATACAGCAAAGCAAACCATCGAACAAACAAAGCAAGCATTGTAACTAACCCAACAACCCAAAAATCATAACCATCGAGATGCCAAGCTTGCATGGTGTTTTCGTTGTTCTGAAAGACAACTTCAATGTAATCATGGAGAGAAGTTGCCATAACAGAGGTAGCTACAGTTGCAGCACGACCTGAAGGAACTGCACTGATGGAATTCGTGCTAAAAACTCCAGGGATGTTAAAATGATCAGCAAGCTTCAAAGGTGTATCGGGATTTATATAGGAGACGCCATTCACTGCATAACGCAACTTCCCGTTTATTGAAGATGCTGAGTTGGCCAAGACAAAAGTCTTAGTTGGTGTTATCTGCCCGTAATGGAATGAACCCTGAGGATTAGGCCTGGCTGCATTTGATGTCAAATTCCACCTTCAAGAAAATGAAGAAAAACAAATTAAATAAGATTGTTTTTTTAGTCTTAAAATGATTTTAAGAAAGAATCATATGATCTCCATGGACTAGTACCTATATGTTCTCACCTGATCCATTGACCAATCAAATTGATTTGCAGGAGCAGCTGGAATAGGTCCGGAAACTGGGGCATTCGAGTTTGTGTAGTGCAACAGCGCGGTTGCAGTGAGAACAGTTTTTGTAAATCGTGTGGATGCAACGATGTAGTAGTCCTTTGGCAGCTGGTCCAAGGTAACTAAGATGGTTACGGATTGGCCAACATGTACATCAAGAGAATCATATAAATTCTGAATTACGTGAGATCCTTCGACCTCAACTAGCTTCATTTTATGATTCTGGATCCTAAAATTGAGTGAGGTGGATAATCCAACATTTGAGATCCTGAACATGTAAGTTTTGCCTGAAACACCAGAAATTTGTTGCATGAATTAATAATACGCTATGAAGTAAGCGACAAAACTTGATTCATTATAAAATAATGATAAGGCAACATGACTTGAAGGTAATGATGACCTTGATCTCCACCAAAGGATGTTCGAGTTTGGCCATTTATAAGGATACCGTCAGGGAAGGGCAGAGGGTTGCCTGCGTCCAAAGATTGCTGCAATGTCTGAAAACCAGAAAACAATATATGATGAGCACAAAGATTTGCCTAAATGAAAACGAAGAACAAACTATTAGTTTCATGGAAAATGCTAGCAATGGGGATCCACGTCAAGAAACATGCTTTAACTGACTATCAGCTCTTTCTTGGGAGAATATGAACAAAATTACAAATAAAATTCACTCCTCAATCCCCAGAGCTGATCATGTAGACCTTTGTTACTCTGACTCTTCATTTTTTTCCAAAAATATCAGTGCTCGACACCCATGTCATACACATTTTCATGCCGGACACCTGCACCCAAGTTCAAGCAACATAGATGTAGACATATGTCTACCTAGATTCTCATATCCTATAACATACATTTGGCATGGCAAGAATGAATGACAAGTAAGCAATTTGTAACTTACAGGTAGAAAGAAAAAAACGTAACTGTGAAGAAGACTAACCTTATGGTTGGTCTTGAACCAGTCACCAACAAGTAAAGAGAAATCTCCTGCTGGGACTGCATAAGGTATAGGGATCACACTCCTATGGATTATATTGAGTGCTCCAAATCCTCCAGCAGCTCTATGCATCAATGTTGATGGGAAATAATTGTAGGATCCAATCTGATCCTTGGCCTGGAACTTGTAGGTATAGTTTGAGTTTGGAGGGATAGGACAATTGGTCCCCAAAACCCCATCCTGCCATGAATTCTTCCTTTGCTTGACCCCATTCCTGTTGCAAGAAAAAAAATGGAAAATTTTAAAGACAAATCTTGGTTCTTCCCTTCATTTCCCAGATTCATGGATCAGCAAGAAACTCAGGATCTCAATGCAAAGAACAAATGCTTACCATGTCAACAAGAAAGGCTGGTCAAGCTTGTTAATGAGATTCAAGATGATGTTGTTATTAGTCACCACATCAAGTTTTGGTCCAGGGAACTGATTATTGATAAGGATAACCTTCACACAAGAACAAACGATGAGAACTTTAGAAAATCAGAATCAAAAGCACATTACTTTTTTAGATTTTACACCAACCTGTTGGGGAACTCCAAGAATGGAACGAGTACCATAAGTGACAGTCCAAGTGAAATACAAGTAAGGGTCTTCAGCATTCACCAGGGACACACCCAAAACAGCCAAAACCAAATGGAGAATCACTGATTTCCCCATTTTCTCTTTTTATACCCTGAAATCAAAGAACTGCTAATTAAGCAAAACTAGAAAACGGGTTGTTATCAGAAGACATTGCCATTATTGGCTGAAAAGAGAAAGCTACCTGGTTAGAGACTCCCTGGAATGCGAGGTATTTTCAAGTCAAAAACCAAAGCTAAACAACACCAGATCTTGGTCGAGTGGAATGGCGGTGGCCTTGCTTTTAAACTAGTAATAATTAACGGCGCCACGCGTTACCGCGTTAGTATAATTGCTTCCAGCTATATGTTTATTCTCACTTATTGTTTCACCTTTTACTCTTTAGCAGAATGTTAAAATGATTAAAAATAATTAAAATCTATATAACATAAATACTCCACTTGGTAGGGGGAAAATGATATTTCGGATGTTGATCACTGTTCTTCCAATTTCTTGGAACAGTTATCACTTGTACTTGTTCTTCCCCTTTCTCGGAAACTGGCAATCCAAAGAAATTCCAACAGACTATGTAAGTAATAGGATAAATTACACATTTAGTCACAACAGACTTTATGTAAGTAATAGGATAAATTACACATTTAATCACTCATCTATTTTTATAATTCTATTTTAATGATCTAATTATTTAAAAAAAATGTATCTAACATTATGTCTTAGGCCTGTAAATGAACTGAACGTTCAACGAACCGTTCATGAACCGTGCGGCGAGAAGTTCGTT